GTCCCTGGTGCCAAAAAGGTTGGGGACTGCTCTTCTAGAGGATTACACCGAGCTCAGACATTTCTACAATCATAGGTCACCAGACTGTTGTGCACAGACTCCCAAAACCTCCTGGAAGGAACTGTGAAAGGGAACTGGTTGTCCACATCAGCTGGTCTTTGACGCTGGGATTGAAAGCTACTCTAAACCCCTGGGGAGAATGGCCTAAGAAATCAAGGGACTCAATCTAAAGGAGAGGTTTGTCTCAGGAGTTGGATTTTAGAATTTAGAGATTTGGAATAAATTCCTCAAAAAAATGAAGTGCCCTACTTTGGAAGACTGAAGAACCAGTTAACAATTAGAAGCCAGAATACCCAGTCTTTTGTCCTGGGAGATTGGGAGAGGGGAGAAAGAAGGAAACAAAGAGAGAGAGAAAGGGATAGAGGGAAGAGAGAGAAGAGAGAAAAAAGCAATGACCCTCAACCATGTCTGATAAGCTTTGCTTCTTTCCCTGTGTCTCCTCTTCTCCCTCTGACACAAGAAACAATTTCTCCATTTTTCTTCAATAGAGCAATTCAGTTCTCTCTAACTCTTAGCCCTGTACTCACAGCCCCATTTATGCATAACCAAACTCATCAGGTTTGTTAGTTCAACAGAAGAATCTTTCATTTTAATATGATCCACTCTTCTTTGAAGGCAATTGTTATTATAAATAAATAGTATACCCTCACAGTTTCACATGAATTACACATGTGAAAGTACATTGAAGTGCTAAACTTGTCATAATTTGTGTATAGTATGATGTTTTAAGTTTTCAAATTGACACAGAATTCACTCTTCTATAACATTTGGTTTCAACATTTTCCAAAATTTGACTTCTAATCTATGTTTGAGATTCTGTGTCTCACATTTTAACATAATCCTTTATCAACTCACATCAAATCATTAGTAGAGTTCACAACGGGGAATAAGAATGAGACGCAGGATGGCAATCCGGGTTCTGTGGAAAGCCAGAGGACTCCAAAACAAAAAAAAATTTTTTACATTAAATGTTGCCAATCGCTGTCCCTAGTCAAGCCAATCAAAATCATCATTCATATTAACTTTGATACTCCACATAGAGCTCTGACATGGGCAACCAAACGCTGAAAAATGCAATGCTAAATCTTTATTCTATATTTGTACCTGAAAAAGGAAGAAGATAAATGTAGGATGGATAACAAGCAGGGATTTGAGGGTTGGAAGAGGAGGAAAGAATAACAAAGTTGAAATTTTGTGCTAAGGCCAGCCTTATCTATACAGGTTGGAGACAGCACCTCCTTCTGGGAGGTGTTCTAACTAATTCCAGCAGATGGCAGTGCTGCATAATGTGCTTTCCTGTGCTTTTTAAGCTAATTTACAAATGACTTTTTTTACGTTGGTTGAGGGATAAATATTGAAGTATAACCTCATAGCCTGAAATTTTCTGCTTTCAACTTAGAGAAGGCAGATGCAAACACCAAATCCCAGCAATCTCCAAAAGTCCCAGACAACCTTCTGGATTCCCTCACCAGAACATTTATATCAATTTGTGCTTGATTCTGCATTGGCCGGAAGTGTCTGCTGGAGCCTCAAGATGCCACACAAAGCAACTGCCCGCATCCCCTTGCCCCACCCAGCCTTGTCCTGAAAAGAGTAGGGGCTGATTCTAACCTGTTCAATCCTATCTTCAGATTCCCCAGAACCACTTCAAATTCTTCAGCCCATTATGAATTCTTCCTCTCCTAACCCCCAGAGTACGCATGCTCTTAGCCTCAGGTAAATATTTAACAACGTATTGGTGTTGTCCTTACCTCAGTTAGTTTCAATGTGCTAGTTAGACAGTAAACTTGAGATCAGGGAGAGGATGTTAGGTGTATTGTCATTCCCCACCATATATAATATGGTGCCAGATTCAAAAGAGATGCCTAAAAAATAGCTGTTGGTTGACTAACTCTTCTCACCAACTCTTAGAAATGTTGGCCAGCATGCTATCTAGTGTTCAGTAATTCCCTGTGATTTAGGAGTCAGCCATAGGACCTGCCAGGAAAAATGACTCCAGTCAGGGAATTCTGCACCTGGGCAAACTCTGGCATAGAAGTTTTGTGTAAAAGCAGCTGCCTGTGTGCTGCCTGTAACTGAAACCCCATCGTTTCATGTTTGGGGCATGTGTCGTCCACCTATTCCAACATTCCAGGGCTCCCTTGCAGTGCCCTAAGCAGTGCCCCTTCCCCCAGGTTTCCATTCATTTGTGCACGACAGCTATTCAATTAAGCCTGTCTGGGCTGAACATAGTAGTATCAATTTTACATTCAGGCCACAATCAGAAGTGTTAGTTATTTAATCTCTTTCTACCAACTCTTCTCTTTACCACTTCTATTTTCTTTCCCAAACCTGCCCCATCATATCTGATGCTCTGGAGCTCCTGCTGTTTTTGTGACATCTCTGAAGGTGTCCCATTTAGACCCAGTGAATTAGGGACATCTAATGTATCCTATCTGTTCTGGATACAAGAAAACTTACACCTAAGCAAACCTGCACCCCAACCCTTCAATCAGCTCCACCCTTGTTTGTGCTACATTATAATTCTCCTTAGCAGTTTGTTATTCATTTGTTCTTCCTACTCATCTATTCATTCACCAAGTGTTTACTGGGTACCTGCTATGTGTCAAGCACTGGAGCCAGTGGTGAATAAGTAAGTATGATCCTTATCCTCAGAAAGCTTGTGGTTTTGTGGTACAGGTGAAATTTTAAAATAAACACAGATGAATATATAATTATAATAAAGAGATGCTCTTTGAAGGAGAAAAAACAGAATGCTATGGGGATGAATGTGAGTGGAAGTGAGGGGGGAGGATATGTAGTCTTGATTGGATTGGATTGGAACAATGGTTAAAAATGGACTCTCTAGGGTGGTGACATTAAACTAAGGCACAAAAGGTGAGAAGGAAGTGTACATAGGGATCAACAAAATGCCCCAAGGTAAGGGGTGTAAAGGGGAGGCTCTGTACTTAGAGGAACTAATAGAACAACTGCTCACTAGTTAGGAAGTGGGTAGGGTGGGTAGGGGATACAGCCCAATGCAGGAACTGCACCCTGCATGACCTCATAGACCCAATGTGGGTACTGAATGCTGGCACCAGACCTGTACATTCTGTGATTCTGAAAAAGGCTTCCCCCTTCCCTGTTTGAACTTTATAAAATATAGTCATATCTGAATTCTATCTCTGCTTGCACAGGAATGACAAATGTAGAGATCCAGAGGCCTTAGGTGTCTGCTGGACCCTCAGGTAACCACACAGAGAGGATGCCCCAGTCCCAGCCTCTTCCCCACCATGACCCACATCCACGCCTTGCTCCGGCCCCAGTTGTAAAACAAGCTCCTGGGAAGCAGCATAGGTCTTCATCTTTCCTAGGGTCGGAACTTCTAACTCTTCCATTATTACATCTGTCAATGGGCAAAGACCTAACTTGCCATCACAAAAGAAACACTTTGATGGAAAAACTTTAAAAGGACTGTATTTAAAATGCTAATTATAATGTCTTTTCATGTCAACTCCAACCTTAAAACTTAAGTGCTTTTTTATTTAATTTTAGACCAATCTTAGGTCTCAGACCCTCCATGAGACTTCTGAGTATTAAACAATTAAGGGCAATAATGAGAGAAATAATGATCACTATTATCTAGACTTCAAAAGCCCTTCTCATTGGCTTGAGTTTCCTGGGTCAAGGGAAGGGGGGAAAAAAAGCTCTTTTCAATTTTTTCACTTATTTGACACTGCCCTAGGCTTCAGGTAGATAGATCTGTAGGGAACTGGGGAGAGGAAAAGGAAATTTTAACCTATAATTCAGGCAGTCAAAGTCCATATAGTAAGAAAGGTAAGGCAATCAGCTTTTTAAGTGATGAGGTGGCTCATTCATTAATAGGTGATACTAACCACATGCCCTCTGCTAGCATGAACAAATTATTTTTGCCAAGTTCAGTTATTTCCTGGCAGCTGAAGGAAAACATGTGCTGTCAAAATGTTAATATATTTCAAATTGCTTCATCAAGGGGGAGGATAATGGGTAGATAATTATAGATGCTAGAGGATGGGTATATCAAATTCATTACAGTATTCTTTCTACTTTTGTACATATTTGAAAAGTTCCATAATGTTTTGTCTTAAACATCAGTCCTTTTATCATCATTTAATATTTTCCTACTCCCCCTGCCAAACACTTTTCTGTGCTATGGGACAAAATTTCAGTCATCTGTCATCAGTAGCTGCTCTGGCAATAGGTATAAATATCTATTGTTTGGTAGATTAAAAAGTTTAAAAAGATTCAAACTATGAAGTGTGAAAAGAGAAACTCAAGTATCTACCCTGTATTCACAGTTTCATTTTAATAAACGATTTCAGAATTAGACCTACTAGCATCAAGGAGGTGAGGGCCAAATAGATGTAATTTTCATCATCACTGGCAAAGGTGCCTGCTAGAAGTAGAGTTTTTGATAGAATCTCTAGGGAAAACTGTTGCAAATCTCCAATCTAGAATCTTCCCTTCTATACTGATTGAAAGATTGAAACATAATCTGTAATCTGAGTAGGCACAAAGGGGAGGATACACACTTCAGCATCAGACAGCACCCCAGTTTTACAGGATTCCACACTAGAAGCACTATAGTGCAGTGGCCACTGATCTGTGGGGACTACAGTTGCAGCAGTGCCTCTGTTTCCATGTCTTCAATATGGCGATGACATAGGTTAATTATGAGGATGAAATGAGACAACACGTAGGAAGTGCCTAGCATAGTAGCTAGCACGTTGAAAGTACTGAATCAAGGATTTTGGTTTTTATAAATCAGCTGATTACTTACCTTAAATTAAAAGGGTATAAAATATAAATCATCTGATTACTTACCATATCTTAAAATGAGGACTACATCTTAGCGTGATCCAGATGGGCCCACTCACCATTCAAGCCAAACCCCTTGTCCAAGGGAAAAATGTTTTCCCAAACATATGACTATAAACTCATTTTATTTTGCCTTTGAAATAAGAAAATATTAGCATAAATATCTGATCTATTAGTGAAATTACAATCTGAACAAAGGACTCAATGGTACAGTGTATTTACAAAAGTTAGATAATTTCTTCTGCTTTTCTATTCAGTCATTTCCAAAGTAGATCTTACAGTGGTATTAAGAAATATTTAATAAGTAGAATCATCCCACAATAATTGTGTTCTTAACTCCACAAAATATATCATTTCCATAAATTCTTCAGTTTTGAAATCAACAGTATAGGCACATGGAACATTAACAGTAAAATTCTGTGTAGATGACAAAATGGTAGACTCTAAGATCTACATTTTTCTTACTGATTTTCTAAAAATGCTGCTCCGCTAAGGAAAGAAAAATGCAAATTTATGCATGTATAAAGTCAAATATCCTAAATGTTTTCATACAAATCTTTAAAAGCTCTGATCACTGTGCTCATTTTCATAAATACTTACAATACTTCAGAGAAATTATATTGCAGAACCACATAAGATTTTACTGTGATCATCACAATAAAAAATATGTATAAGAATGTTTATAGACATTTATTTTTTTAAAAATCTCTAGGCTTGAAGATTCAAGCAATCATATTTAAGGTAAAGTGCTATTCCAAACATGTATAACTTCATTTTAACTTTGATTTTTTACAAATATTTCCCCAATTTTTTAAAATCGCAAATGACAAAGTAAATGGGTTCAAAACTAAATCCTCAAACCAAGTAGAGAGATAACAGATAACATTCAAATTTCTCTTTGGAAAACAACTATGAAAAATGATCATTTTTCTCCCATCAAATTAAGTCAATATCTCTTTCGGAAAGCAGCGTATTAATACGTGATTTTATGAAATTATCCAGTCATAGGCAAGCACCCTGCTGAGCACACCCAGTGACTTAGGATAGTCCTCACTGGGGTGTTTTTTCTCCCAGCACTTGTAAGGCCTCTTGGGGGACAGTGGATAAAATAGCTTTCAGGGTCAAAATATTTTTGTGATATTTGGACTTTAAACTCTTGAATAATTAAAATTAACTGCATAACTTGCACCTATGTATATACGTGTGACATGATCTGGGATTTAGGATTATAATTCTGTGAACTTGAAATGGTTAGAGGCAAACTGGGGAGTCTAGAGTTTCTCTTCTCTCTTCATGCCCTCCCTTTTTAATCTGAAGACTCAGAAATTATCCCGAACCATAGAAAGGTAGGGTATTTGGGAATGAATAAACTATTCTTATCCAAGGAGTTAGGTTTCTAATTATTATCAATAAAGAGATGAAGAGCAGTGGGCATTGGAACAAGAATTAACACTGGAAGAAAGAAATATCACTTTTAGAATATCTCTAGGATAATATTTTTCAGGTAACCCCCCCCCCCAATCCTGTTCTGGTTAATGATGAACTTAAATGCCTGATCTGCAAAGAAAATGCTCACCAGGGACCTGCTGACTCAAGAATTTAATTCTTGCCCCATTGGAACACTGCCAACATTTTTCTGTTCCTAATATGAATGCGTCTGCAGTTTAAATAAGAGATTTCTTTCTGAAGAAAAGCAGTGGGAAGTTTGGGTGTTGTCAGCATTTCAGGTAAGATTGAAAGGCTGCTCTTGCAACCAGGTCTGTTCTGCTAAATTGAGAGTAAGCATTGTATGTAATAGTAACAGAGGTGAGCACCTGGAGCACAGTTTTAGGAAAAGAGCTTTCAGTTTGCAGTGGACAATTTCAAAGAAGATCTTACCAATCACCTTTTAAGATCTATTCCAACCATGGGACTCCATGATTCTTTGGATTCTTAAAGTGGCACCTACCCATTGGCAGGGGCCTGGGCTGGCTGGAAGACTGAAGGGGAAAAAATAAAGACAATCTCTTTCTATATTAAATGAGCTTTTTGAGGAATCTCAAGTATTCTGTAACAACCCTACCTAAAACCCTAATGAGAAACTCCACTATGAAAAAGGTTTGACATCTTCACTCTGCACCACCATACCCAACCTGACCCTGCTTCTCCAAACAGCACAAGGTAAGCAAACCTACGTGTCAATGTTTCCATTCACCTTCTATCTGAGGGGCAAAAATGGAGGAAAATAGAGGGGCAGAGACTTTGGGACAAAGCTGCTCCCCAGTGTCATCAAGTTAAGCCTTGAAATTACCCCTCATTACAGCTAATGACATCAGTGGTGTTCCCCACAGAGAGATGCTCATTGCCCAAAAGATGTGAGTTCAATTATGAGCACAAATCCCAAATGAGGAAATTCTGGGCTAGTCCACCTTTCTTTATTATTTGCTATTTTCCCTTATAAATATGTTAATAAAGCAATAATAATAATTTTCTTGGAAGGCAATACTCTGCCAAAAATAAAATGCTTCAGAAACGTGAGCACTCTGCTGGCCCCACCTCAATCAACCCTGAAGATTTGCAAGCTCGAGGCCATTGGTCATGTGGCGTTGTAACCAGGCACCGATGTAGCCATGGATTCCCCATCTTTCTGGTCTAATTCTCTTGTTATAGAATAAGCCACTGATCCATTGGTCCATAAGTGCACCTTGGGGTCAGATTCTTTGGCAAGAAACTGCAGCTGGGTTTTTTTCATCCTCTTTACAAGTCTAGCAAAGCCAAGCAACACGGAACTAAATATCATTGAAAATCCACAGAGAAGGAATGCTGCAGTGTAGCTGCCAGTTGTATCTACCAGCCACCCTGTAACAAACAACAGCAAAATCATATTGTTGAGTTGAAAATTCAATTACTTACCCAGTCTCAAACCTAATAATTTGTAAGGATAAGAACAATAGATTGCTAGCACTGCCATTATAATTTTGAGACAAAAAGCAGATCACCTAAAAATATTGTGCAGCAACTGAAAACTACATTCTATTTCCAGAGAAACTTTTTAAATGAATTGATGGTTATTATTATGTAAAGTGCTTGGAAGAGTATCATGTACTTACTAAATCACATTACTTACTAATATTAGTTATTATTAGCCCCATGAAATCTGGTAGAAAAGATAACAATAGCATCATTCAAATTATTGAAGTTGGGATAACTTATCTAGGGTGTTAAGAGAATATGAGAGCTGTCCAGAAAGTATCCAGCCACGGAATATGCACAATGGAGACATTTATGGCTGGATACGTTCTAGCCAGCCCTTGTGTAATCAGGCAAAATGCTAGTAATATTACCAGCATTCATACACTATCTTGAGTAACATAACATGCTTCAAAGAATTATACAAATTTTTAATTGAATTCAGTCACTGTACCCCATCCAGTTTGAAAATCAGAACTTTGCGCCATTTTAGAAGTTGCAAATGCACACATCTGAATGCATACTTCTGTAACCATAGGATTTTTTTCTTTATCTCTTCTTGCAACAAACTAATCTCAGTATCTATCCCAGCCTTGAATTTTGAGGAAAACCAGGGCATATGATATGCAAAATTGGGACCAGATGATCAGAGTATCAGTAGGTTAAAATTATACCTGGCCAGACAATTATTTTGTTATTAACAAAAATATTTCTTTTTAAAATCCTTCAAACTTTATTTATATGGCAAGAAAACCTACCCCCCAAAATACCATGGTTTCTCCTTTTACCCACTTCAAATTAATATAAGCCCCACAAAGTTTTCTACAAGAACTATTCTCAAATATTAATTAAAACTACTCTCAAATATTTTAGTTATCGTGTTATTTACTTGTGCCTTTCTGTAGCACCAAACAGAAAAGACTAAGTAGAGAGTTGTCATTTGAAAGGTAAATAAATAAGAGAAGTATTATTTATACAATAAGAACTCACATCCTAAGCATCTAATTCTCAGTAATGAGTATAATTTCCCATTTGCCAAATGAAGGCCACCGATTGAAAAAAGCCTCCAGGAATCCCAATTTCATTTGCGTTGTATGACCTTTAACAGAACCACAGTGTTCCTAAAGCTTAGTGAACAGGGATGTGGTGAGCATTGTGGAGGGGAAAGGCAATACCTCTAACCCTTCCTAAGGAGAGGCAAAGATATAAAATGTAACCAAAATGTCAAAATAATAATTAAAAAAAAAAACATTTACCGGGTATCAGGCAGGTGGGAGGGGGGAGGAGGGGATGGTTATATACTTACATAACGAGTGCGATGCGTACCACCTGGAGGATGGACACGCTTGAAGCTCTGACTGGGGGAGGGGTGGCAAGGGCAATATATGTAACCTTAACAACATTTGTACCCCCATAATATGATGAAAAAAAAGTTAGTGAACACTGAAATTGGCTATGGAGGGAGGCTGTGGGAACATTTTGGAGGCAGTTTTCAAAAATGAAGCACTAAACATAAAGTCCTAAATTATGGAATTTAAACTGACCAGGATTTTTCAACTGCATCGGTAAAACAGCCACAGTTATCCCTAGTTTGCCGTTTCTCCCCAACCCCAACTGCTGCATTTTGGAAATAGCCTGAAACTATCTACTCACAGCAACAGCTAATAGCAGAAACCCTGCTTTCTTCAAAACATCCCCTTCCTTCTTTTTAGGGAAATGGCTGGCCCATTTCTCTTTTGCCTGTCTTCAGAGACCTGTATTCACTCTCTCGGTTTTAATTTAGGCAGATAATAGTTTGGACCAGTTATTCTCAATATTTACTGTGCACGTGCATCACAAGAAAACTGGTTGAAAATGTAGATTTTTGGAACTCAGTCACCCCCCCCCCAAGATTCAGATCATCAGTGGGAGTGTTAAGGAATCTACGTTTGTAACAAGGGCCCTAGGAGGTTCTGATGCAAGTGGTCCCAGGATCTCATTTGGAGAGACAGTGGTCTAGACCACATGCTCCAAGAAGGAAAAACAGGTTCGGACCTGTTTCGTGCTGTCTCTCCAGGCCACCAAGCAAAATGGTAGTTACAAAAGCAATAAATATTTGTTGAATTACTTGGTTAATGCATGCAATAAATATCTGTCAAATTATTTGTTTATTCATACTTTAAATGCCTATAGCATTTTACAGTTTTCAAAAGATTCTAGATGCTTTATCTGATGACTCTGAAATCTATATATCCAAATCTGGCCTTCCTCTAAAGCTCAGATTTCATTCTTAAACAACTCTATTGAGCGTTTTCACCTATGTGTTTCAGATATCTCAATATATCTAAACATTAAATTCATTATTTTTCAGGCAAAGCCAACTTCTCCAATTTCCTTATCTTTTTCAACCATGACATTATTTACTAAGTCATCTTTTTCTTTCTCTCCTTCACCTTCATATGCTAAATTCAGTTGATTTTTCCCCCAAAATCTCCTCCTTGCCCCCAGAGCTCATTTCCATTTCTGCTGCAGCAGGCAGCCCTAGTCTGGGCCTTAGTCAGTTTGCTCCTATCATATTAGAATGGAATCCTAATTATCTCTCCCCTAAATTACTAGATCAACTACTAGATTACATTTTCTAAAATATACTCTTCACCACCCTTTGCACAAAAACTTTAATACTATCCATAGTGTCTGAAGAATAGAGCCCAGCTCCTTGGCTTGGCACACAAAACACTCCATTGTGACACTGGCACTTTTCATTTCAGCCTTACCAGCCACTAGAATCCTGTACTCCCAGCAGACTTCCCTCTGAATGTGCCCTGACTACTTGTAAGTCTGAGCAACTGCTCATCATTATTCCATTGCTCCCATCATTAGTATGGAAAGGAATCAAGTCCCTAATATGGGACTTTTTCTTTCCAGGGAGGCTAAGGTTTCCACTTGGTTGGAAGACTATAAAATGAGGATGTAGGTGAGATCCTGATGTTTTTGGTGGCTCCTGCACCCCTTCTCTCTTTCACTCTTCCTCAACTCTCTTGCCAGTCCTTCTCATTATCTGTGTGTTGGTTCACTATTTTCATGTCAATATGCCAAAGAGAAGAGGTGGCTGGGGATTCTCTCTGGAAACTTACCTGCGATGGGTGGGCTCACCAAATATGGCACTGCATGAAGGAAGTACACCACACCAAGCGCTGATGACAGAGAGGTGGTCCCCACCACCTCTGCGGTCACTACTGGGATCAGGGTCACATAGGCACCATCAAAGTAGCCAAAGGTACAAGAGAAAGGCACAAGCAACGGGAGATTTCGAAGCATTGGGAGGCAGAGGTAGCAGAGCCCATCTAGTCCCACGGCAACGAGGTAGCAAACATACCGGTAACTCTTCAGACACCTGTGGATTTGAGAAACAAAAATGAGTGCAGGGTGCACTAAGGTTCTACTAAAGAGCTTTAGAGTCATGGCCATGCAGCAATAAGCACTGCAGTTATTTATGGAGATGGCTTCCCCATTGTGCGTTATCTATGTTGTCTTCCTATCTTTTTTTTTTTTTAATGAATGCAAGAATTCATCTCCCCAGGAAGCATGGTGTGGTAGAAATGGAATATATGGAATATAGGCTCTCAAATTAGAAAGGTAGAAGAATAAAATCAGTTCTATGATCCACCAACTGCCTAACTCTAACTTCAATTTCTTTAGCTATAAAATGGGAAGGTTACCTAATCTCATCACTGGTACTCTAAAGATAGTTGGAAATAACATGCAGTGTCAGGAGACTAATACTTCCTAGCAGCCAACCACATTAGATGCTTCCAGATATGTTATCTATTGGTATGTGGCACGACAACCTGAGTGATTATACAAAAGGGACGCTGGAATGTGAAGACATCAAAATGATTTGCCAGAGAGGATGAAGCTCTTGGACTAGGACTAAGTCTTATTTCAAGACTTCCCCAGTGGTACTTCCATCACATTTTCCCTCTGTAACTCCAGATCCATCTATGATACCAGTTATTTCAAAGACTCTGTATAATGTCAGCTCCAGCAGTTTATGCTTTACAAATGTTTTTCTCTCCACAGCCCCATGTGAGCCTTACAAAATGGTATAAGGTCAATGAGCAAATGTTGCACTGGACTGGCTTATAGACAGTGACCCTTGAGGATCTGAGGGTCAGGTAAGTTTCTGGTCATAGGGCTAATAAGCAACAGAGCTGGCACAAGAACATAGGTCTTGTGTGTCCGACTAGCCATGCCTCCATTAGACCTACATGCTGTTGCTTCTTGCCAAGTTATTTGATGGTGAAGATAGATACCTCTTGCTCTCTGCCTTCTTGTTTAACCATTAATAATATGGAATTAATTCTAAATATTACATCCATAACACTGGAGAGTGAAAGTTTTATCCTGATTAATTACCAGTGGCATAATTTGTGAGAAGCTACACAATAATAGCTCTCCCAAGTCATAGCTCAAGTGTGACGAGTCCATCATTTAGGAGGCTATGAGTAGCTTGCACTTTTCAGTCCAAATAGATGAGCATTTACTGAAGAAACTACTGGGTAGATTTCCTATAACTTTGGTTTCTGAGCCTACCATTACAATGAAAGTATTTGCTATTTTTGCTGTCAAACATAAATGTATGGCTGCAATGTCACTATTGTTACCTGCTCCTCCTCCCATTGGCAGACATTCTCTAGAGCGGCTCAAGCACAACTAAAACCATAACACTCAGCCTAAGGTTGTCTTGCCTGAGGACTGACTTGAATTGGGATGAAACTAAATCTGTCAACAGAACTTGTAGTTACCCTAGGCTTCTGTAATTTAGACAAACCCACCATCCTAAACCAACTAGAAAAATTATGGCCAAATTAAGCCCACCACCTGTTTTTGTACCATGTTTCCCCCAAAATAAGACCTACTCATAAAATAAGCCCTAGCAGGATTTCTAAGCATTTGTGCAATACAAGCCTACCCCAAAAATAAGACCTAGTGATGGGCGTGGCTACGCAGCATATCTGCACAACCCATGCATTTCATCATGGAGCGGTAAAGAAGACGAGAAGCCCTCTCATCTGCCCCATGAGAGCTCTATTGCTTAACATGAGAGATTGGGGCCAATGGCTCTAAAGGAAATAGAGTTGCAAGAAATTCAGGATGGAATTCGGGGTTTGGAGAGTTAGGATGATGTTTCAGAAGAAGACAATTTAACTATATTTGAATAAACGTAGATTATGGTACCGTACTTAACAAAAATAACACATCCCCTGAAAATAAGCCCTAGGGTGTCTTCTTGAGGAAAAATAAATATAAGACCTTGTCTTATTTTCAGGGAAACATGGTACTCCCTGTGAACTAAGAATTGCTTTTCCATTTTAAAATGGCTGGAAAAAAATCAAAAGAACAATATTTTGTGACATGTCAAAATTATAAGAGAAATTCCAATTTCAGTGTGGATAAATAAAGACTAATTGGACCATAGCCACTCTCATTTCTTTAAATATGATCTATGCTTTGGGGCTACAACAGCAGAATTGGGTAGTTGCAACAAAAATCATATGGCCTACAAAACCCCAAACATGTTTACCCTCTGTCCCTTTACAGAAAAAGTTTGCCAACCCCTAATCTAGAAGAGCCAGCAAGCGAGCTGCCTTCAGATATTGCAGGCTTGTTAACATTATTCAGACCTTGGGAGTCCACAAGGAAAAGGGATGAGGAGTAACTCAAGGCCTAAAGTCCCTAGGTGGAGAACCGATTGTAGTTTCGTGGATTTTACCTTCTATCTGTCAGCCATCCAAATGTGATGTTGCCAATAATGTCAATCACTCCCAGTATGGACATAAGAAAAGCAGCTTGCTGGTGACTCACTCCAACACTCAAAGCATAAGGCACCAGGTACACAAAGAGAGGGCTGCAGCCGTAAGCCATGAACAGAACAGAGATGGCTAACACGACAAAGTCTGACATCAGTACAAAACTGTATTCCTGCTGCAAAGAGCAGCAGAGGCAAGTCCGTGCCCATTTTTTGGTCAAAGGCGAATAGGGAGAAGCCCGCTTAAAGTCTTCTTTCTGAGTTCTGCAGACGTCATTCTGCTCTGGAGTTGTATGGTCCTCTTTAAGAGTAATTGGCCGCATCAAGGCACCACAAACACAGAGATTCAAAACGAAGCCCCCAAGAATGAGCAATGCTCCCCGCCAGGAGAACTGTTCAATGAGGAGCTGAACCACAGGAGCCAGGATGAAGGTGCCAATACCACTTCCGGACATGGCGATCCCGTAAGCAAGGGCTTTCCGTCTGCTGAAATACTTGCCAACCATGGCAATGGCTGGGGAGTAACAAAGTGCAAATCCAAGACCTGGGGAGGAAGAGAACCCTGTGAGTGCTGGTGCACCATGAACAGCCACAGAAATAAAATATCTCAGAATAAAATTATTTAGATTAAAGAGAACCTGACCTTCTGTTAAACCCTTTAAAGCTGTTTCCTACACCAAGCTGAGCATGAGTTTCCCCTTACCAGTTATTCACAACTTGGAAAATATATAATATATGTGACTTTCTTCTTAGGAAGAACACCCTTAAGGAAATATGACTTCTTAAACAAAGTTAAATGAAGAACTTAAAAGTCCTTATGCAAACTAACTTGGAATTAACTAGAATTTCTGCATAGTGCCAACCTCCTCCTTTTTCTTTTTTTTTAACTTAAATTATTCAGATAATTTCCCTAACTTCACTGCCTGTAAAGACTCAACACTGGTAATCTGGAATTTGGATTGAAACAGCATGTATTAATATAACTCCATAAAAGTTCCAGAATAATTAATTTCACATAGTTGGGAAAAATCATGCAATCTTTATACATGAACATAGCAACCTGAAAACATCCCTTAAGGTCAGCAGAAAAGAGTTGATGATCAAGAAATCTTTTTAAAGATCTTCATCTTCTATTACTTTTTAAGTCAAGAAAATCTGAAGGGATGTAAACCTGATTCCATCTGCAACTAGAATGTCAGAGAAAGAAAAGTAGAACCACTTTCGGCTCCTGTTTCCATCTGCAGTGCAGGGTAGCCAGCGATCTAGAGTTGACTGAGGAGTTTCTGGATGTGGCAGGACTTGCAGTGCTAAAGCCAGGACAGTCCCTGGTAAACTGGGACCACTGGTCACCAGAGCAGTTAGGTCGCATGGGTGACTAGGAGCAGATGTACCTTCTTAAGCTGACAGAGCCAGATTTATAGCCTCACTGTGATGTTACATCCCTTCTTGGCCTGATTCCTGCTACCCCAATGGCACAAAGCCCAGACAGGAGCTGGTGCTACTCTCCTCACCCCTCTGCAAGCTGCTACTCCAGACCCACCAACCAACCCCATTTTGATCCTATGTAGTCCCTTTAAGTGTGATTTATGGAATGCACGTATGTTGCTTCTCTTTCCATGGCATTCATTATGGTTCACTAAAGCGATACTTCCACAGCGTTGAGAAAGAATCTGCATATAAGAATACTCACAAGGGGCTTTCTTTTTTAAATTGAAAACTCACATTTGTTAGACAATGATATTCATTATAAAGCAAGGGCAACTCAGGTTGACCACGAATAGTATTTTAATGTCCTGGCAAAGAGTTTGCAGAATAACCATTGCTGAAAATGATGGGTAATAATTTTGGGTAATATCTTGTTTCTTCTGAGTATAGAATCTCAGTCATACACTAATGTCAAAGGAAAAGCCAGCAGTTACTTTGATCATATGGCAGGATTAAAGTGGTGACATATTATTATTACGGTAGTGCAATCCCATGTCCAGCTCTGTTTAACTGCTAGGTAGGTAGACATGAGCTGGGTCAGCTAAATTATGCATCTAACAAAATGAATATTTTATGAATCACTCCTCTGTGGATGTGCTTGGCCACCCCTGGATGGGATGGGTGAGACAAGTAGACAGAGGTACAAAGTGCCCTTACCTGTAACAACGCCCAGAGTGAGGTAGAGATGCTTCAGACTGGTGGCAAAGGAGCCCAGGATGAGACCAGTAGATGCGAGCAAGCCACCCAGCATGATTCCCACTTGACAGGATAAACGGTTACTGACAACACTCCCAAGTGGAGCTTCAAAAACAATAACAAATAAGTTCAACAGAAAGGCCTCAGGGGAGCAGCGAACGCTGTGGTATTGCACTGGCAGAGCAGAGCACAATCGCCCTTTAAAAACATTGAGCCCACCCCACTGATTCCACAGCTTTGGAAACTGAGGCCCAGAGAGAGGACGTGACTTGTCCCTGGTCGCTCAGAGAATAAGTAGCAAAACCAGACTAGAACTCAAGTCTCTTGACTTGCATTTCAGTGCTTGTTCCTCATCTTTACTTCATTACAGCCATAATACTGGGACTATTGAGTGTTGTTAAAACAGGATCCACTCTTTATTGAAACTATATGTCACTTGCACAGGGATGTTTGCTATAGTATTGATCATACAGCATTAGCAACCATGATGACAGTGAACTGGTAGAGAAAGAAAGTGAGTGGCCCTGTGTGATCAGCAGTGTCGTGCAGTAAAAGACCTAGCAGAGAGAGTGCAGACAGTTCCACAATGGGGCACTGCTTTCAGGCTGTAGCACACACACCCTGCATGAGAAATCAAAGCCCAGAAAAATCTAAGAAAAATTCTTCATGCCCATGGTGACATTCTGGTCGACCTCACTCCATTTGTGGTTTACCAATGTGTCAGAATTATGTTGACCTCAATGCTTATAGAATATGCATTAAATGTATAAGAGACCAAAGAGGAACTGAAGTTCAGGGGGATAGTATGTCCAAGGTTACCAAGAAATACAGCTCAGAATGCCTGACACCAAGTGGGAGGTTATTTTGCCCTTTTCCTCCTTGGGTCTCCCAGACTAATGACAGGAGTGATGAAAGGCATGTGAATTTCTTTCTGAGGAACAATTCACGCTGACACCAGTACTCCTAGTAACAAGATCAGAAGAGCTGATTCTCTGGGTATCTGTAGAATATGATCATTTTTGTATTGATCAGGTTGAAACTGGAGCCTGACTCCAATGTTCAACTCAAATGAACTTTTCTATTCATCCTAGAGCAGATCTGTTCCCAGTTACTGTCACAGATGTGATTCTGCAGCCTCTTGCCCGTACTCTGAATGTTCTAATGTCATGTTACCAGGTGAGCAAGAAGGTATATGGTAATTGGGTACAACAGGCCTCTCATTCTTTCATAGAATTTAAACATGCTGTTTCTGACATGATCCTTCTCAAAGCCTCACACAAATCATGGTGACCATATTGATCACCTAAGGCCATTTACTCCTCTTTGGGGGGTTATGAATATTTTTGAAAAGATGGCAGTGAGGAAGATGAGTCACCTTTATTTTCTGAGAAAGACAAACACAGCTCTTGGCATGCTGATACAAAGGCTGTGACTAATAATGTGACCCTAAAAATCCAGTGATTGTTTTACCTGTTACAAAAAAAAAAAAAAAAACAAGCTACAAAACCCAAATATATGATTTTTTGAGCCTTTAAGACCTTCTTATTGATTCAGAAAATCAACTTAGCCATCTCATGAAACCTGCTTTTAAGCCTAGAATTGCTCTCAAATTCCACCCAACCAAGGAAATATATTTCAGCACAATTCAACTGATTCCTGAGCATACACATTTTCCTAAAATTAACTATGTGTCAGTACCTAGAGTGGAATCAGATGAAGTTATTATGAGTTACTGAGTAATAGTATACCGTGTTTCCCCAAAAATAAGACCTACCCATAAAATAAGCCCTAGCAGGATTTCTAAGCATTTGTACAACATAAGCCCTACCCCGAAAATAAGACCTAGTGATGAGCGTGGCTACACAGCATATGTGCACAACTCATGCATTTCGTCCACGGAAAGGTAAAGAAGATGAGCAGCCCTTCTCATCTGCCCCACGAGAGCTCTATTGCTCAACATGAGAGATTGGGGCCAATGGTTCTAAAGGAAATAGTGTCCCAAGAAATTCAGGATGGAATTCGGGGTTTGGAGAGTTATGATGATGTTCCAGAAGAAGATGACTTAACTATATTTGAATAAATGTAGATTGCTGTACCATACTTAAATAAAATAACACATCCCCTGAAAATAAGCCCTAGTATGTCTTCTTGAGGAAAAATAACTATAAGACCCTGTCTTATTTTCAGGGAAACATGGTAGCATTTGTTTTTTGCCACTGAGACAAGACCTGAAAAGATGAAAGTTTTCTAAAATACTCAAGACTCATTGAAATGCAAATAATTTGATCCAATCTTAAAAATTCTCTAAAACACCAATTTAATAACTTTATTTGTCCTCCACTATTAATATATAGATGGAATGTTAGTTTCCATGAATTTCTGGAACAACCTACATACCCTCTATAACACCTTTGTGGTTTCTTGAATGAAATTATAGCCATAGTGAATATGTTTAGCTCATGATTACACAATCCATCCTTCCCCAATACTTCTCTAAGTATGAAGATTTATGCATGAAAAAGATGAAATCTATTAGCCAAATTTTGAAGCTTCTGGGAAGGAAACAGAATGCAGACCAAGACTTGAGATGTGATGCAAAACTGCTGGCTCTCATTTAAGTAGATCATATAGTAATGGCTCATGGTGCTATGCAATGATTGTTCACATGACTAGAGAATTAGAAGGCCATAGCATTTGGTAGAGAGAAGCCAAGCATATGCTGTATGGTAAACTGCTTTCGAAATTAGGAGAAGTTCAGCAATGCTCAGCATCTTATCTCTATATGGAAGAGCCAAATGGTATGTGTCCTTTTGAGTGTATTAACTACAATACTTGTTCCATATGACATCAGCTAAAACCATTCATTCCAAGAACAAGCCTGGTTGGCTTTAGCCAAAGCTAAGATTGACCTTTTCTTTTTGCATATATTTAGCCAATTTTTAACATAGCCCTTCTACTTAGAAAAATGAGTAATCAAAGTCAGTGGAAGGGCTTGGTCATGTACAGTTCAAGAGTAGCCAGTAATTGTCTATCCTGTAAGTGATACTCACCACATAGCATGGTCACACAGTCTACAATGGAATGGATCCATGCTGTTTGTGCATAATCCTGAGCGAAGTATGTCTGGAACTCCACAAAAAAAATTGAGATACATCTGAAAAATATAATGCAAGGCATTTTATACAAAAAGCAAATGAACATGGATTTGAACCAGAAATTACAAGTTTTGGTTCAATTAGCTGTTCCAGTCTCTAAGAGTTTTAATTGCTGTACTATAATAAGTGGGAAATCAGAAGTTGAACATTTGGACCATTCTGGAGAACAAGAAGAACAAGGGGATACTGAGGTCATACTGCTCCAAGGAACATTTTATGGAAAAGAGAGAAGGACAACAATATGGATTCTTTTTTTTTTTTTTTTTTTTTTTTGAGACAGTGCCATGGCGTCAGCCTAGCTCATAGCAACCTCAAACTCCTGGGCTCAAGCAAACCTCCTGCCTCAGCCTCCCAAGTAGCTGGGACTACAGGCATGCGCCACCATGCCCAGCTAATTTTTTCTACATATATTAGTTGGCCAATTAATTTCTTTCTATTTATAGTAGAGATGAGGTCTCGCTCTTGCTCAGGCTGGTTTCGAACTCCTGACCTTGAGCAATCTGCCTGCCTTGGCCTCCCAGAGTGGGACTACAGGCATGAGCCACCATGCACGGCTAATTTTTTCTATATATATTAGTTGGCCAATTAATTTCTTTCTATTTATAGTAGAGACAGCGGTCTCGCTCTTGCTCAGGCTGGTTTCGAACTCCTGACCTCGAGCAATCCGCCTGCCTCAGCCTCCCAGAGTGCTAGGATTACAGGCGTGAGCCACCACGCCCGGCCGATCTGTACTTTTTGATTGGAAATAAATTCACAATATAATGCTAGGTAAAAAAGTACGTTATAATACAAAATAGCATATTTAGTAAGAATTTATTTTTTAAAAACATAGTTTATATAGATAGAAAAAGGCTGAAAGCATACAAATATGTACCCAATCATTATATGTGAATGGTGAGAAGTGATCATTTCTGTCTTTATTCTGCATTTTGAATTATTTTATAATAAACATGATTTCTTATATAATCAGAAATGTGTTTATGCATATGTGTGCAGAGAGAGAAATATTTATGTTGAAAAACAGTTAATTACTTAGGGAAAAAAGTCATAAGTGAACCAGAAGCAACAGTTTGTATCACTGTACAACTTGGGAGAGCTTCGTATAGATTAGCATGGTGCCCTATTCTGAGCAGGAAGCTTTTAGAGCCTGGTGATAACAGGGAAAGAGATCAGGCCTGTGGCTTGGGAATGAGATAAGAGGTTATTAATCTTTTTGGATAGGGCTGAATTCCAACTCATCATGCTTCAGCAGCCCATAGTAACCTGTTCTTTTCATTCTCCCTCTCCTTTCCAGTTGCTGCTAGGTGTGAAGTTAGGTGCTGGACAGCTTGGAGGAGAAAGGAGAAAACCAGATACAATCAGACAGCTGTGTGAGGCAGGGCCAGCTTCATGGGAGTGCAGCCCACACAGAGCCACAGAGCCTGGCACTCAGAAGGATGAAACTCGCTTTAGAGCTCAGCCATCACTGACTTAAAATTCTTAATAATTTTATCTCTGAATTTGTGTTTTTGAGTGAAGGCCAATGGAACAACAGAGGCAGCACGTAAGCAGAAGAGATGCACTTGATATGTGTGTCTGCAGTTCTGTCTGCAGTTCACATGGAGCATTAGAGATGTCATATGGAGCATTAGAGATGTCATATGGAGCATTAGAGATGTCCCAAGAGCACAGAATTCTGGTGGACCCATGATTTGAGGGAGTTTGGTAAGACTCAAAGCAAGTATGAGTTAAGTGTGTTGTATCTGTGGGGGTAGGGAGAAAGAAGGGTCTAACAGCCCTGGGAATCCAGGCTTTCCTTTTGAATCAAAACCTGCTTCAAATGCAGAAAGAAGGCAGTGGTGTGCTAAGAATCACGAAAGATCAGGGATTCCTATCACATCCTTTATTATTCATGTTACTTCTCTGTATTAGTCACCATTTATGCTGAGAGTGATGGCATAAAGGAAAGGGAGAGACAAGGCAACCTATGTTTCCTTCCTTTTCAGTCCTTTCTTACCCACCAGTAAGCTGAAGAAGAGAGAATGTTGACAGGCTGTGCAAGAATCAAGAAGTCAAAAACAGTTGAGTTAGGCCAGGCGTGGTGGCTCACGCCTGTAATCCTAGCTCTCTGGGAGGCCGAGGCGGGCGGATTGCTCAAGGTCAGGAGTTCAAAACCAGCCTGAGCAAGAGTGAGACCCCGTCTCTACTATAAATAGAAAGAAATTAATTGGCCAACTGATATGTATATAAAAAAATTAGCCGGGCATGGTGGCGCATGCCTGTAGTCACAGCTACTCGGGAGGCTGAGGCAGAAGGATCTCTCGATCCCAGGAGTTTGAGGTTGCTGTGAGCTAGGCTGACTCCAGGGCACTCACTCTAGCCTGGACAACAAAGAGAGACTCTGTCTCAAAAAAAAAAAACATAAAAAAACAGTTGAGTTAGTTCCACTAACTAACAGTTAGTAGTGCCAGTTTTCCATTGTTCTGATAAAAATGAAATACATACGCATTTATGAGCTACCAAATAAGAGTTGTGAAACTCCAGTGATTCCACATATGAGTTCAATACTCATTTGCATTTCAAAAAGTCATTGCCTAATATATAAACAACAGTCAATTCATGCTGATATTTAACATTCTCATTTTTCTTTCCTTACAACAACACTAAATAGCAAATTTAAAACGCCATGAACAATTGAAAGACCACTGAAGAAAGGAAAAAGCTTTATATTTTAGTACTTGTAACAGCATTTTTTTTTCCTGCTTTTTGAACAAGGGGCCTTGCATTTTCATTGTGCACTGGGCCCCCGACTATGTTGTTGGTCTTCGTGACAAGAAAGAGAACGGTATGAGCTAAATTCTAAGTCCCAGTGGATGCCAGGATGGAGCTCTGTGTGCCGGGCATAGAATAAGGATCAACATTTGTAGAAGGAAAGCGAAGGACACAGGATTAGGCAGAGAGGTCAAAGTGCAATGCATGCCTGACGAATTCCCAGGGTCCCAAATGGAATGGTCCCGCCTCGAAGCACCTCCCTCAATCAGTCACTGGATGTGGGCGCCCCGGGCAAGGGTGTGCTCTTGGGAGAGGCAGCTCTCCGCAGGTGAGGGACACCTGAGGACTGACAGCTGCAGGCTGTGCTGACTGTACGCCTGGCAGCTGCAGCTGAGGCCAAATGAGAGGCACATGTCTGTGCTCACTGCAGTCCCATTCTTGTTCTCCACACTGAGCACTGTATGCAGTTCTCTGTGAAAGGGACACAAAAAGTGACCCTTCTCCATCTAGGGATTTAAGAAGCCAGACATGCAGCAGTAGATCTGATGCTAGATTAATAATTACATCAGCACTTGGAGTACTGAAACGGAGTCACACCTGACAATGCAGAGAGTAGTAACATGAACTACCTGGCTGATCGTATGAACTTAAATTTAATGAAAATATTGCAGAGCTCTTTTAAAAGCATGCATTAACTGCAACTGTGCTTCATGCTAGCACCTTTCTCCTGAACTGCAGCCAAAACCCTTCTAACTGACCTTCCTGAATTTGCACAAGGCTGCCTTCAGTACATTCTACACTCAATGGTCAGAGCAACCTTTCTAGAACACAAATAAGATTCTGATGCTCCCAACTTTATAACCTGACTCAGGAGACTGGATGGGCTGTCCCTTCTCAATGTGTCTCCTTTCTGCCCACCCGTTGGGTTCTTCACTTCAGCCATATTTAACTTCTTGCTACTTCTTGTAACATGCCACCCACACTTTTTCACACCTCTGAAACTTAAATCCTTTTTCTTTTCTAGGATGCTCTCCTTGCCCTTCTCATTCTTTTAGTCTCAAGATAATATCATAGTAACTCCTCTAGAAGGTTCCCCTGACCACCCCCTGATTACCAAGGCTGGGTTTATTATCAATACCTCTCATATGTGTTTCCACTACACGCTGATTGTTTACCACACTGGGTGGCGATTCCCTTTGCATCTGTTTGTATTCTCCACTAGAATGTTGCTCTGTGATGGCAAAGACCATGTCTGCCTTATCTCACACTCAATCCCAGACATCTAGTATGGTACCTGCCATGTACTAAATACTCATAGATATTATAGGAAGGAAGGAAGGAGGAAAAGGAAGGAAGGAAGGAAGGAAGGAAGGAGGGAGGGAGGGAAGGAAGGAAGGAAGGAGGGAAGGAAGGAAGGTAGGTACAGGAAGTGACAAGAAGATAAGGAAGTAAAAGTGGTTGAGTTGCAACTTCAAGAACTATGAATGAGAAAGGGAAGAGGAAGATTGGGTGGTGGCCATATAGGAACATGTGGCTAGGTGGGGGAAAGTGGGGATGTGAAGAAACTGAGTATGTTATTTGCTGAGAGCAAGAATCATAAGAGGGAGCTGCAGAAGCTGGAAATGTAAGAGGAACACATGCTGTCTAACAGGTCCCATAGGATGATAAGATAAGATATTATAAATCATAATCTTTTCTTTTCTCTTCACTAAATAATTTTAAGGAACTTAATATTTGTATGGCTATGTTTGTCTCTTGTGACTTCTTTTTTTTTAAAAAAAATCTTGCTTTGTCATTTGCTTTTCTGCTGGCTGGTTTTCTTAACTGACGTGACTAGTCATATCAGTCAAACTTCAGGTATGTGAAAATAAATCAAAACCAACACCGGAGATTCTTGAAACCAACACCGGAGATTCTTGTCTGAGCATGTGAGCCAACTTGTCAGAGGGAAAAACGTTTAATAATCACATACATGCTTTTGAATGATTGTGACTTTTATGAAATGTGGGGAAAATAGTCTATCACTTCACATCTGTTCTCAAAGGGGAAATGTACCACAGAACTTTTCAAATGATAAAGTTTCATGACTTATGCCTTCTAAACACAGGCACCATCCTAAAGAAATCAAATTTTATTGGGAGCGTGTGTGCATCTCACTGAAAAGATTGTTTTTGTTGTTTTTAGAATATTTGTGCAATTACAGATGTCAGGAGAGCAGGATTTTGATCCCTGATTCTCACACTGGGTAACTGAGAGTTTATCATAAAGCTTCTTAATCTCTCAGGGCCTCACTTTCTCATATATAAAATAAGCATTAGGCTTAGGAAGTGAGGAGAAAAAGACTTTTTTTAAAAATTTTCTATGTGGTTTTAATTTTTACCATCTCAATGAATGAGTTCATTTTTTAAGTTCCAAATTAAACAAATCACCCCAGAGGCTGATTTCCTTGTTCCCATCTCCAGTTCTTTTGGCTGCTTCCTGGCTTACGGCATTTAGATTCAGACACTGGCTACCTCGTCACACTTTTCTCCTCTAAACTTATTCTGCTCAAGTATCCTCCTCTCAGCATCTCCTAGTAACCTCTGATAATAGGCCTTTGCTGCCAGCCACAACACTCTTTTCTGGTTTCTGGCTAAACCCCAGGCAGTTCAGGAATGAAGGCTGCCCACCCTTACCACCAAGTGAGTAACAGATGAAGTTCGTCCGCTGATGCAGCTTGAAACATCTTTCTCTTTCGTTTCTGCCTGGCCGAATACTTGCCATTCTTTTAAGAACTCACTCCAGGGACAACTTCTCTAGAAAGCCTGCCCTGAACTCCCAGGTCAGAATTAAGCCCTCTCTGTGTTACTTTGCATTCTATTTTTACCTAAGTTATATTTAGCGCATTTTGATTATATTTAGTTCTTTATGCCTGAGCCTACTAGATGATGTCCCAATATCTCTGTGTTTTTGGAGGCAGCTAGCACATAGCTTTGTCCACAATGAATGCATGGTACGTATTAGTGGAATTGATTTCAGTTGAATTAAAGTTGAAAACTTAGAGATACAACCTAAAAAAAGATGCAAGACTTTGAGCCCTTGAAGGTAGTCATGAGATCTATTGGCTATCCCAGTGTTTTTGAGAGAGAATTGAGAACCAATGTCCTTCCAAGCAAGAAAAACCATGTGAGTTGCTGATGAGCATGAATGACCATCAATAAATTGTGTCCCTGGTGTAATTCCTCAATTACCTATGAACATGTACCCCAAGTTATTTCCATAGTTTCAGAGGACAGCATTCAACAGAATCCATGTACCCAATCTCCCCCAGCCTTGATATGCAGTTGTTTGTACATGAGTTCGGGGTAGCATCACTCATGGCCAGTTAACAACAGGGCAGACAGGGTAGAGGGAAATTTGGAAACAACTGTCCCCTTAGCACCATGACTCCTCACCACCAATATGACAATTCCCTGGATATTAGAAGATAGCCTATCTTAAGGCAATGCTTCCCATAACTAAGGTAGTTTTTGAAAAACCTACACCTTGTAATTCTACAGTTTTCAAGTGGAAGCAGAGTTTGCACACATTTGTGTATGTATGTGTGTGTGAAGTGTGTATGTATGAGAAATAACAGGATAGAAAGCTCTTTAGTTATGTGCTGGAAAATGTGATAGTGGTTTCTCTGTGTGTGTTAAGAGTCAATGGATTATGAGTGTGTGTGCAGTGACAAATAAACAAGATGAGACATAAAAAAGACTAGGATTCCAGTCCAGCTCTGTCATACTGGCCAAGAAATTGAAGGCAAGTTACTCAACTTTCCTGAGCCTCAGTGTCCTAACCTCTGGGAGGTGACTATACCTATTCTGCTGAAATCACAGGGCCCACGTGAGACAATGTGATTGGAAGAATTATCTCAACCAAAAGCACCACGGACAACTAGACAAGAGTGCAACTCCTTCGTGAAGACTCAACTACTACCCAGAAGGTTCTGGCATGAACCCTCCTTATAAAGCACTGAGCATACTTCCCAAAATTCCCCCTCTTGGGAATAAAGGCAGCTTCTACATGTAAGAACCAACATGAGAGAGAGTCCTTTTAACCCCACAACCTCTTCACACCCAGAACACAAGATTCATAATATAGATGGGAGAAAAATTAGACTCAATATCAATGACATTATTTTAAACAAATCTACAGTTTACTATTAATATAAGACATAATCAACTAACTCTTATTGTAGCAAACAAAAACATCTTGCTTCTTCTATCCTGCATTATATCTTTGTTATGGCGCAGGGGAGAACATGGATGATTTTATTGATGATGCCATCAAGTAAAGTTATTCGTCCAAATAACTTTCTTATACTGAAATGACTTTCTTATACTGCCAGGAGTGCATTGCCAGAGAAGAGAAACAAGGAGTTCTATGTGAATGAAAGCATTTGTAGAGAAAAGAGCTACTGAAATGCAGATTTCAAGTATGAATTTATTCTAAATATAAATGAGATGACTGAGTCTGAATGTCCACACATGTAACTTAAGCATGTCTAACACTATGTCCTTGGAGAAAAGAAGGAGAGAGAGAAGTGGGCAAATGAGACTGAGAGAATCCCTATATTTATGCTGTTGCTCTCCTTTAACCTGGAATTCAGCCTCCACCACAAAGCCAAAATGCAAATAAAGCAAAGGAATTTAAATTCTAGGTTGTAAGCTTCCAAGAGCTCAGTACCTGGTAAACCAAAGGCTTTTCAAGGATTATTTTGACCTTGCATGATTTTCCTTTCTGGGATGAATATAGACCCTAGACCTGTGTAAGATTAACTCCATGTGGTGTGTTCACAAATCCGCTATAAACTTTATAATCACACTCTTGTCACTTGACACCCTTTTTCCTCATCCATGAACTTAAAGCCACATGTCATACCATTATAATTATGATCTCTTACCATCAGTTGTCCACAGTGTTTTTTTGATTTGTGAGTTATGAATCACATATCCAATTAGATCTGTATTTCCATTGTAAAATTTTAATGATTACGGTTGAGCTTAATTATTAAGATGATAGATAAAGAGAATTCTGGAGAAATGGACTTACAGAAATCATCTTACCCATCCCTGGAGCTATGTCAGCTTATGCTAACTTACCGTCTTGGGTATGCATTTAGCAATTCTTTAAAAACCTTAGAAAACTAATTTCATTAAGAAAATACCATGGAACCACTCCCTCCTCTAATGAACAAATCAGGGCACTTCCCATGTCATTTCATATGTGATAGGTTTTAAATATTTCATATTAATTATCAGTGGAAGATGAAGAGAGAAAAGAAGTGTGTATCACATACTTCCACATCTTCTAGAGCCGCTTATGAGAAAAAACGGCTACAATAGCCACAGCGTTTGGTCTAACATTCCAGGTTAAAGTGTCAGATATTATAGAAGAGACCACTACCAGGACTTTTAAGTGTCAGAAAATTACATTCCTTGCAAAGAAAAAGATATCTGAGCAATCAAAGGATAAGCACACACACACACAAAACATTCATATGCACATACAGGTAGTTCCACATTGATGGGTTCAGACATAGAATGAGGCAGTTGTAGAAGAAAAGACAAGCCAGGTCATCTTGATAAATCAAGAAGAAAATCCCACCTACCTGGTGACTGCCCGGGTGCAGATGGTAACCAGGAAACAGCCAGCCACGATCATCCAGCCCCAGCCGCCATCTGGAGGGGAGGTAGACCGAGCTCTATTTACTTTTGCCATGGTTTTTCTTTTTTCTTCTTTTCCAGGTTATTCTACCAGCCAAGTTATAATCTTGGAAGAGTTTTCTGTCCAGTGACTTCCTGTTGGCATTCAAGGTTGGCATAGAATGCTACCTGGCACATGGGTTACTGGCCATCTAAAATAAAAAATCAGGATGTATTTGTATTTTATTGCCATGTTGATTGTTTTCAGTTGGTAAAAAATAATTATCACGTTCCTATTAAATATGATTATTTGTAACTGAATACTAGACTAGGGCAAAGACTATTCACTTTCCTTGGTATCCCTCTTCCTCCCCTTTTTTTTTTTTTTTTTTTATATAATAGGGCCTCTCAAATTTTAGCCAAATCCATGTCTACCGTGTATGATACCATTTTCCCTAGCCTCTCTCGAATGTAGGTGTGGCAATACAGTTTTGTCTAGAGGAAAAGATGTGAGCAGAACTAATACGGGCCATCTCTGGTTCGTCAGTTCAAAGGCAAAGATACTTCCCCAGGATTTCCAGCACCCCTGTGCCAACAGACTGGACCACCGATGTGGAGATGAGGCAGACCAGGACATTGGCCTTGAGGCCAGCAGAGCTACCACATGGAAACAGCCCAGGTCCCCAAATGACTGTGAAGAGCTGTCCCTCCCATTGTGGACTTTGCACATCTCTACACTGTTACATGAAAGATAAAGAAGCTTCGATTTTATTTGGGCCTCTGTATTTTGGAGTCTCTCTGTTACAACGGCTTAGATCACATCCTAATTATTATACAGCATGAGTCTGACCATAACTTCTTTGGCATTTTTAAGAAGGTTATACTTTTCTAAGTGTGTAATTGAAGCAAGTAGAAAATGACAAATAAATAAAACAGAATACAGCACCCAGGAGCTAGTACACAATATTTCACTCTATTCTAAATAAGGTAGCAAAGATCAGTGGAGAAAAAAAGCATTATTCATCATATCATATTACAACTCTCCATTTAGTTCTTGATCTTCCAGAAATAATAGAAGTAAATATAAAAAAAAAAGAAGTCATTAAAAATTTAGGTGAAGATATAAACAAAAATGTGTTGATCTGTCTAAATTAAAATATAATATTTCTGTACAGATATAAATCACAGTCTGGGGGGGAACATTTGCAATGCACAGCTCAAAGAAGTAATATCTGCATTAATTAATTCATTCATTCATTCAACTACACATACTTATTGAGTGTCTTATACGTGTTGGCACTTAGGTCAATTCTACATCTTAGTGATTGTGAATTGTGCAGTAATAAACATTCAAGTGCAAGTGTCTTGTTACAATTTTATTTTGATCACCAGAAGAAATCTTAACACGAATTAAATAAAACATCATTTCAAACAGGACAAAATGTGCATTAATTGATGAACATACACTGTGTACCACCTAGTAAATTATGGGCACACCAAATTGCCTAATAAAAAATTGATTTTAAGACCACATCTTCCTCAAGAAAATAGCTCATAACAGAATTTTGCAAGCACACATCTTTGAAGCCACTGGAACAAACTGTGAATTCAGAGAGCACACACAGATCAAAGGGAGTGAGGCCAAGGCAATACGAGTGATTCCCACATTAAGTGAAACCACTCAAGTTTGCTCACTTTGAAGTCTTGGGCCTCCGTCTTCATCTCATTAGCTCTCCTGTGAATGTTGGAAGACGGACAAAGGAGCTTGAGTGGACAAGTGAAGATTATAAACCCATCAAAAGTATTGGAAGACTAATTTAGATAAAATAAAAATTATTAGTAGAAATGATAATCTTGCTAATCACTGGCCTGGGTACTAAGTAATGGCCAAAATACTGGTGATGGAGATGGGGCTAAGTGAAAACAACTTAGATATAGAGCTGTTTAAAGAACCGTTTTCACAGGCCAAGCTGCTAGTAAGCAGCATGACAGATGGTATCTCATTTAACCCTTACAACAACCATAGAAGGTGGGCATTATTGTCCCTATTTTACAGATGAGAAACTCAGGCTAGAAAGATTGAGTAATTTTCCCAATTATTGTTAATACCATAAGGCAGCAGAAATGGGACATGAACTTTGGCCTGATTGCAAGGCCATTTTTCCTAGCCAGCACCCTGCCTTGCTGCCACTACCTTCCTTATTCTTTGGTATAAATTCATAAATACTTTTGTCTAATCATACACATAATTCTCACTGATGGCACACCTGTAGGATGACATGAATTGCAGCCTGATGCAACTTTAACTTCCGTTCTGTTAAATGATACCATTGGTGTTTTCCTGAAACGTGCCTGTAGATCAGCCACAGAATCATCTCCGATTTCAGAGCAAAACCAACCTTCCAAAGGAGTCTCCAATAGTCTGAAGTTTCAGGATCAGTCCCTCTAAAATACAACTCTCATGGATAAGTAGCTTTAACAAATTACTTTGTTTACCAAAATTAAACACTCAGCAAAAAAACCTCTTATTTAAAAGACCTACCATATTTGTATTCTTGCTTTTATATACACAGCCTATAGGAGTAGACAGAGCTAGTTGCCTGCTCCAAATCCACAGTTCATTCAACTACACATACTTATTATTCCCATTTTATCATAACACTGGTTTTGTGTTCTACTCTATCTTCTGTCTCCCGTAGCCATTTGCTTCAGGGAAGGCAGGCCCAGTCCACTGGTTCAGGGAATAGGTTTGGACTGGTGTCCCTTTCCCTGGTCAATGAGTTATGAGGGATGACGTGTGAAGTAATTCGAGCCTATGACCTATGAGGGAAGTCCTCTGAGAAATGTTCCCTTGCTCTTAAGAAAACACACAGGAAAGAAACAAGCCCCTCTTCTTCCTGTAGACATTTTGAATCTAGGTGTGATAGCTGGAGCTATGGCGGCCAGCTCTTAAGCATGAAGCTTGAGGACAAAGTCAAGAAGCCAAGGCCAGTACAGCAGAATGATGAAAAGAACCTGGGACCTTAACGATGTCACTGAGCTACTGAATTAACCAATTCTGGAGCCACCCTATGTAGCCTGTTGGATAACATAATACATTTTACTTATTGTTGGAACTAGTTGAGATTTCTGTTACTTCTACCAAAGTAATCTAAACTGGTGTATTCCCTTAGACAGTGGTGTGCTGCTGCCAGCTCTGACTGCATGTCATGATATGCTTCATCCAGTGATGTCATGTTGGTGACTTGAAATTGGCCCTGGAGCAAGCATGCCACAGAAATCGCAAATTGGCTCACTAGACATCAAAGCTCTTTACGTCCCCTAAGAGAACCAGCTGTCAAATATTTACTAGCACACCACTGCAACGTCAGAGTAATTTACAGTGTACACAGTAAACATTGCTAGGAAATATTAAGTAAAGCCAAAGAACTAAGAAAGAATTCAATTTGCTAGTGAGCCAGCAGCTTAACCAGCCTGTTACCTTTCTAATAAGGTAATCTGCCTGTCTTCTAAGGCAAGGGTTGGCAAACTGCAGCCCTCAAGCAAAACTTGGCTGCTACCATTTTTAGTAAACAAAATTTTACTGGAACACAACCATACCCATTTATTTACATTTTTCTTTGGCTGCTTTCTTGCTACAATGGCAACTGAGTACTTGTAACTGAGAATACATGGCTCAGAAAGCCTAAGATATTTACTATCTGGCCTTATACAGAGAAAATTTGTAGATCCTTGTTCTAGACAGACGTGAGGCATTGATCTGCATGATAGAACGCCAATATTTGGAAGGATAGATATTTATGACTATGGCAGCAGAATGGCAGAGTGGAATAGTGAAAAGAACTAGCAATCTAAGGAAGATCTGGGTTCCAGCCCTGACTCTCCATCTTATGAGTTATATGAATGAACTTAAGCAACTTACTCAAAGTCTCTGAACCTCAGTCTACTCATCTATAAAATGGGGGCAATAATATTACTCTCATGAAATGTTGCGTGGATTAAAATGAGGTCTGAGGAATACCTGGCACAAAAATATAGATATTGTCTGCCCTGTGACTAAACCTCTTTTCATTCATTCATCCCTCATTAATTCAACAGATATTTGTTGAGTGTCCAGAAACTATTGCACCAGAAACCATTCTAGAAGCTGGGCTATAAGCAGTGAAGAAAACAGATGTGGCCCTGACTTGATGAAGCTCACATCCTAGTGGGGCAGGCAGGCAAACAGTTGAACAATATTTTCTGAACCTCAGTTGCCTTGTTTGTAGAAAAAAATACCCTATCTGCCCACTTCACTGAATTGTAGTGAGAGTCAAATGGAAGCAGTCACAAGCTGGCAGCAACGAGCAAATCAAACTTCAGGACATTTTTGTTAACACCTACAGTATTTTCTAAAATGCTTACATTCATTGTCACAATGTAAATATCATTAAATTGATCTAAAATATCCAAATTTCTAAATTCTCTTGAAAAATTGAAAGCTCTGAAAAGGTACTGGGCTGCATTCCCTTGTGGCAGCCACCAGCTGGAGCCAAGCAGCAGCGCCCCCTTTCAGACAAGACCAGCCCCCTTTCTTCACCCTGTCCCTGACACCCCATACTGTTCAACCCCTGTACTGTTTCACTCATGTATAATACCTGCCAGGCCCCTTGACCCAGTAAGATTTTCAACGCCTGCCCAAACTGTGCTACCATAAATCAAAGCTTTTCAAACAGCCAACTGAGTCATGTTCGTGGTATACTTTATGTCTAACTCTCTTTATTTCTCAATTCCAACAGAGCTAGCATTTGAGAGTCTCCCTACACCTGTAACAAACACATAGAATGGAATAACTCACCGATTGGACACAATTAGCTGCCAGGTGTCATGAAATGATACAGTCGATTGTACAGGTAAAAAACCGAAGCTTAGAAACCTCTTCTGTGGTACAATCCTAGCCTCTTCTTGGATTTTTCCATTTAAATAACCCCTAAGCTGAAGCTGCTTTTCAGTGTAAGACTATAAATCCACCTATCCATAAACATCCAGTATGAGGACCATCCTTACTTAGTGGTGCCTGGTGCTATTAAAGAATACTGAAACAGGCAGTGCTGTGCAACAGCCCTTCTGGAGAGCAACAGAATTCAATGGATCAAGAATTAGAATGTTATTCATATTCTTTGAACAGCAATTCCATTTCTGGGAAGTTATCCTAAGAAAACAATTTAATCTGGTTTGCACTGATGTGGAAAAAAAGAAAAGAATTTAAGAAAAGCCAAACACTGTGGCCAAAATATAATAGGTGCATTATGAATACTATATAAAGCAGAAACGGCCTAAATGCTTAACAACTAGGAAGTGTTTGGAAATTGCAATACATTCAACAAATCATAGTTTGCAATCCTTTAAAATTATAAACAGGAAGATAATATTATAATATGAGAAACATTTATGATGCCATGTTAAAGCAAAAAAAAAGCTATGAAATTGTATATACCTTGTGAGAGAAGCTATGTAAAGCTTATGTAAAAGTTGTATGCTTATAACTGTCACAAAGAGTAGGAAGAGTATGCAAAAGAAATATACTTGGGCTGGTATGATTAAGTTATTATTCATTTCCTATACTGTGTTAAATATCATTTATATATAATTTTCTTAAAACGTTCTTAATTTCCTGCAGTGAGCACAAAAATCCATATCAGTTATTGATACTGCACTTTGAAAATGAGGTGATTATTCACTAAAGGACATACCCCGTAGGCAACAAGCCCCTGGCAAAATAGAATGGTTCTGTTTCCTTACAAAGCCATTAAGTATCATTAATTTTTTTCTTTGCTGCTGCTAAACCCAAGATTCCCTTTTCATTTGTTTCAGTTGAGCTTCCTCTCTTGGGCATTCCCACAACTTTATAAGAACTGACTTGTGAAGATTATCTCAAAAACTACAATTGTACACATTGAAATAAAACATTTAAGTAATCATCCCAGCATGGCTATGGTGAAAGCATGATGAACAAAGGTCTGGTTAAGTCAGAGAGTCAACCTGGGTAAAACCACAGAACAAGGAACATCCTCGCAGGACTCCAGGGCGGGGAGAAGCAGCCTCCCTGAAAATATCTGTAGGCAATACTACTATTAACAACTCCTCGTGAATAATCGTGTTTGATCCTCACAACCTGCAGAGATCAATGCTATTCCCCCCCTTCAGTGGTGAAACTGAAGCTCAGAGAAGTAAAGGGGCTCCCCTTGCAACACTGCATCTGAGTATGAACGGAGACAAGCAGCTTTGGCCAACTTTGGACTGCAGTTGTCCATCTGCCCTCGAGATTTCAAAATTGCTATCGGCCTTTCTGTCAACAGGATGTCCAAGCAATGTTAAACACCTATTCATGTGAGTGACCACGACAAAAAGGGGCGGGGTAGGGGTACAGGAAACCTACAAGGTTACCACAAGGGGATACTGCTGCTCACAAACAGCGCATGTGAGTTTCTTTCAAAACAGGCTGTTGATAGATTTTTGTATATTCAGAAGAAACGTGTGGGTTAGTCAGGGCTAACCTAGTTTCCTAGAGACTTTGAAGCAGCCTGCAGTTCCCCCACGACATTCAGCTGAGCATTCTTGTAAATAATTAACCCACCTGATATTGGACAAATATAATGGAAAAGTCCTTGATTAAGTTAATAGGGTACCTAAAACTATAAGCAAAGGAAGCATTTACCGTCACACAGCTCTTCGTTTTACTAATCAGCCTCCCATTTATTTTATTTTGACATTAACCACACAAATGTAATTGTATTCTGCATCCTATTCTGGCTTCAGAAAAGTTTTCTGAAGCAAGAGAAACTATATTATGAAATTAAGAAAAAAAGAAACTATGATATTCTTCTAAGATTACTCCTTACATTACAAGTTGGGGTACATTCTCAATTTCACTTTATCCTCCTTGCTTTAAAAAAAATCTATTTATTTGCAAAGAATTCCTGCTCAAATTTAATAACCTTCCAGTAAAACGCCCCATCTGTGAGGCAACTCTTTCATATTGCCCTGGGTAAAGTTTTCTGAAGTGATCCCGTCTGTCACTAGGAAACCTATAAATTTCTTAGTAAGCAACGAGGACAAAGGTTAAGAGTCCTGTTCCAGGACTTGCTTGGGAAGGCTCCCAACACTGGCTTTCCATTGTTCTTTCCTTCCTTAATCCCTTCTATTTCCAGTGCCTTAACCTTTAGGACTACCCTTACTTTATAAATTGGTTGTCACTATAAAAGAGGTAAAAGGAATATGATAGGAAAATACCAAGAAGGAATCGAGACAGCAAAGTCCAACTGGCAGGACTTAGTTGTATGACCTTGGATAAATCACTTCCTCTCTGCTTCTATGTCCTGATTAATAAAACCAGAATATTGAATTACTGATGTCCATCCTCTAAGCCAAGTGACTAATTATTAAGTATGCCTTTCTTAATATGTAAATTACCTAGTAGAATAGACACTCTCAGTAAACTCTAATTAATTTTACTCTTTGTTATTACTTAGCAATTCTTTGAAAGTGAAGACAACTCTCCTTTGTTATTACTAAAAAATCATGTAATTGGCTTTTTGGTTTCTCCTTTTTTAGGCATTTTAAAAATATTCCTATACTATTCGCTATAATAGTTTTGAAACAGGTAATAGTTTTGAAACATTTCCTGATGTATTGCCCTTTTTTTGGTAAGTTTCTCTTAAAGGACCCCTTCTGTCATTAAAGCTAAGCCAAGAAGCTTATTGCTCTAGGGAATGAGAAGATAAGTTCCGCCCAGAATAAATGCACCTACAGACAAGGAATCATGGGACTGTATTGTAGTGGACCTTTGCACCACACAGACAGAGAAAGTAGAAGCCTACCCAAAGAGGAAAGGTAAAGGATTTTTAAAAGGATGATGAGCTGCCCAGATTTCTCTAGGACTATGTGTCCTACTCCCTGAGTCTTTTATTGAGACAGAGTCTCACTCTGTCACCCAGGCTAGAGTACAGTTGGCACCATCATAGCTTACTGCAACCTCCAGCTCCTGGGCTCAAGAGATCCTCCTGCCTTAGCCTCTCGAGTAGCTGGGACTAACTACAAGAGTGCGCCACCATGCCCGCCTAATTTTTCTATTTTTAGTAGAGATGAAGGTCTCACTCTTGCCCAGGCTGGTCTCAAGCTCCTGACCTCAAGTGATCCTCTCACTTTGACCTCCCAAAGTGCTGGGATTGCAGGTGTGAGCCACCGCGTGTGGCCCTCTCCCTAAGTCTTGACCAGGGCAGGTCTGTGTTGCAGTGGAGAGACAGCAACCCTACAACCTGGATAGGCAAGGGAGAGGCTCCAATAAGGAAGCCCGTGCTATGTGCCCTGTGTATAACAGTGGGAACACACAGCTTCACTAGTACCCTGTGTCCAAGCAGACAGAAATGGGGTGCCCACTGACTGTCCCTCATCTCCTAGGTGGCACAGAAGTGATCTGACATGCTCGCGTGTTCTCAACAGAGACAGGGAAGACAGCTATGAGATAAGACCCAGGGCTGTGGCAAAGGGGAAAGTGATTCTATGGCAAATACGCTAAGCCCAGTGGAAGTCATGGCTGATCCTTAAGAACTGCAAGAAAGGTGGGGAATTCTCCCAGGCTCTGGCCACATGGAGTTCAAACTCTGGGTTCCACCTGCATCAGACACTTCAGTGACGCGGACAGAAGCCAATACCTACGGAGCAGCAAGATGAGTTTCACTTTATGTGGAGGTGCAGGAGACCAGCAGATGCCCAGGGACCCACGCTAAGGAAAGCTCTGCATAGGCCAATGAGAACTCGGGAACAATCAGAGACCGGCATGCCAATCACCTCCTTCTCCATTACCAGGAGGACACACGAGTCCCCCCCTAAACCAAACACACTGCTCAAGAAGGAGCGATAAACACAAGACAGGGAAGAAACTGCCCTCTTAAGATTAACATTGGATTTTGCCAAATAGAATCCAAAGAAGACTGATCTTAGCTGGAAAAGATTAAATTTGTCAAGACTGCTAGACACTTTTTTAAATTGAGGTATAATTGACAGACAATAAAAACACACCCATTTTAAGTCTCTATTTCAATGAGTTTTGATAAATGTAAATACTCACAAAACCACCACTACAATCAACATATAGAACCTTTCCTGGGGGGTGTTGGGGAGGGGTAAAAACTTACCTGTTGTGTACAATGAACTCTATTCAGGCGATATGTATACTAAAAGCCCCAACTTAAGCATTACAAAAGGAATACATGTAGCCAAAACATTTGCATCCCCTGAATATTTAATATTTTGAAATTTTTAAAAAAGAAAAAAAATATAAAACATTTTCATCACCCCCAAACATTCCCTCATGCTCCTTTGTAGTCAATCCTCACCAATCCCAACATAACACTACCACTGATTTGCTTTCTGTCAACATAGGTTAGTTTTGTCTGTCAAGAATTTCATAAAAATGGAATCACACAATATGGACTATATTGCTTCTGGCTTCTTTTGCTCATGATAATGTTTTGGGATCATCCAGTTTGTTGTATGTTGTATGTAGCAGTAGTTGATTCATTTTTATTGCTGAATAGTAGTCTCTGTTATGGATAGACTAAAATTTGTTTATTCACTCATCTGTTGATGGGATATTAGAGTTGTTTCCATTTGTAGACAGTTATGAATAAACTTCTGCGGTCATACGTTTACAAGTCTTTTTGTGGACATAAGTTTTTATTCTCTTGAGTAAACCCCTAAGGATGAAAGTGCTGAGTCATATGGTTAAGTATATTTTAACTTTAGAAGAAACTGTCAGATTGTTTTTTTAAGGTGGCTGTGCAATATAACCAGTAACATATTAGAGTTCCAATTGCTCCACGATCTCAACAATCCCTGGTATTAATAGTGTGATTAATTTCAGCCATCCTTGTGAGTTTGTAATGGTATCTCATTGTAGTTTTAATATATAATTCCCTGATGACTAATGACATTAGCCATTTTTTTCTCATGTAATTATTAACTATTATTATATCTTCTTTTGTGAAGTGTCTGTTCAAATATTATGCCCATATTTTAGTGGCTTATCATTTTATTATTGAGATATAGAATTCTTTATATAGTCTAGGTACAAGTTCTTTGTAGATACACATATTACAAATACTTTCTCCCATTCTGTGGCTTACCTATTCATTTCTTAGTGGTGTATTTTGAAGAGCAGAAGCTATTGATTTTGGTAAACTGAAATTTGTTATTTTTTTCCTCATATAGTCAATGTATGTCTCTATATTAGTGGTAAACAATTAAAAATTGAAATTTTAAGATACTATTTTATAGTACCTTGAAAAAACATGAAATGCCTAGAAATCAATTTAACATAATATTTGCATTACTTGTACACTAATAAAACTACAAAATAACACTGAGAAAAATTTATGAAGGCCTAAAACAGAAAGGAAGATCCATGTTCATGGATTGGAAGACTTGGAAGATGTCATATCTACCCAAGTTGATTGATTAATAGTTTCAATGAAATCTCAACCAAAATTCCAGCAGTACTTTTTTAAAATAGAAATTAACAAACTGATACTAAAATTTACATGGAGCTGCAAAGGACCTAGAAAAGCCGAAATAATTTTCAAAAGGAAGAACAAAGGTTTAAGACATACATTAATTGACTTCAAGACTTACTCTAAAGCCAAAGTCATCAAGACAGTGTGATATTGGCACATCAAGTCAGTGGAGCAGAACAGAGAGTCCAGATATGGACCTACATATTTTTCACATGAGAAATGAATCTCGAGTCTTATGTCATACCATATACAAAAACTAACTCAAAATAGATAGCAGATGTAAACATAAAGCAAAAGCTATAACACAGAAGAAAACAAGAAAAAATTGTCATAATTTGGGCATAGGCAGAGGTTTCTTAGACAAGACATAAACAGCACAGCGAACTCCCCACTCCTGCCTTCCTTTAAAATGGAGGCTTATGAAGAAGTTTAGATTTTTTATAGCAACAAAGAAGTCGTCATTGTTTTTCACATCTGCATTACTATATGAGCAAGTCTCAACCCGATCACAAGCCATTGGAGAAGATTTCCAAATGGGCTTGACTGTTGCCTCTGCAGTGGGGAGCTACTCTTTTGGGGTCCACCATTTGTGGTCCATAGGGTGTCCCATTCAAAGCTCTTCTATCTAGGTACTCATTTCTGTCTCTGTAGGAGCAAGAGGGAAACATACAGATACTATCTCTGATCATGGAAACTCAGTGTTCTCAGCCATGATCTGTTTGGCTGAGGATTGGTTGGTCCTCAGAGTCCTCAGGACAGGCCATGTTCAGCCCATGTATTAATATGTGACCATCTCCTTAGCCAAACACCAGCCTCACTCCCAGCCCATCACTTCCACTCCCAACTATCCTGACACTGTAAATTTCTTGCAACTCACTAAAAACAAGTCAGGCTTTAGATCTTTTTACATGCTGTTTCCTCTACTTTCCAATTCCTTTCTTCCCCACTTTTCCACCTGACTCCTGCTTCACTCCTGCTTCAACCGCTTCCACCCTCAAAGCAGGTATCCAGGCTCTTGGATATCTCTGTGCGTGCCTCCCCCAGCACTTACCAAATACATCCTTGTTATCTGTTTACCTGTGTCTCTCTCTACCACTAGACTCCCCAGAGCAGAAATTATCTGAATATCTCAAGTCATCTTTGTATCTTCCCCCAATTCTCCTCACCGTCCCCAAACTACAGAATTACACACACACACACACACACACACACACAGCTTAGTGTGTAGTAAGAGCTCAATCAATGTCTAATAAACGAATGAAATAAGTTCTGCCTTCTCCAGGGAGAACTCCCTCGAGTCATAAGAAATAAATTAAAAGCATAAATAACAATCACGAGTTTTTAAACGGCAATTCAGCTGAAAGAAACATACAAAGCACTTTATCTTCATCAGAGAGAGTCTAATCTTGACATAAAGCAAGAAAGTCAGCCATTACAACTAGAAAATCACACACACCGGAGCATGGCATCCTTGTCACGGAGGTACTAGGCAGCACTTAGAGCTCAAGTCTCTGACTGCTGGACCAGAGAGAAAACCACAACACAGTGCTAGCAATGATGGTTACTATTTGGAGGTGCTTAATCCACCAAGCTCTGAATTCACTGCTATATACCTATGTTATCCCATTTTATCTCCATCTTGACCCTGTGAGGTATGTATCACACTCTCCATTTTACAGATAAAGTAAAGAATGCCCTCACCCTCCAAGATTCAAACTCAAGTCTGTCTTCCACGCTTGTGTTCTTACTCAGCGCACACTGTTGTCTCTCCTCTGGGCTCTAAGCGCCGCTATGGTGGAAGCCATAACTGTTATGTTCCGTACCGTATCCCCAGCACCTAAACAGTGCCTGGCATATATTTGCTGAACTTTCTTAAATGGAAGCCTTGTGGATATTCAGAGAACCATAGTTTGCCTCTAGCCACTTGACATTTTATTTAATTTCTCTCTTACCAAGAATTAAATACCTGGTTCCACCCAACCCCATTCAACACCCTGACCTGTGGCTAGGAAATAAGAGACCATGAATATTAAAGGGCAATTTTCTAAATATGAGAGAATTCTAACACTTTTCTGCATAGCAGTGTAGCAAAGGATTCCAGGTGGTAGCCTTACAGACTTTTATCCTGGGAGCAAACTCAAGTTCCAAAAGGGAATGATGTGGGAGGGAAGTTAAAGAAACCCCTCTCTCTCTGCTTAGGCTTGCAAAGTCTCTGGCCCAGGGACCCAGTTGTTTTCATCCACTTAGCGTCTCTGGGTCTTAGAGATGCCTTCAACTGCATAAGGATTTATTTATTTTTGTTGCTCAATGATGTTACACATGTGCTATGAAAAAAAATATTATTCTTAGGTGAAGAAAAACTAAGGATGTAACGTTTCTCCCCCCCTTTCTGCTTCTCTCTGCTTAGTCCTCAAACAGACCCTGGTAACAGGAGAGTAAATAATCACTGACTTCATCCAGAAATTTTTGGATGCCAGAGACCTTTGGGCACTAAACTGAAACACCGACTTTTGCTAAAGAAGCTGCCAAAGTTTCTACATTGTGTGTGATACTTTGAGGACAGGAACACTTTACATAAGACCTAGAATAAACAGCAGAGTGATTTATATGGTATTTGGTCTACAGAAAGGAAGAAAAAGGTAGAACTCGTGATTCACAGAAGAGGCAGAGAGTAAAGAGTGAAATTCTTTCCCACCCTTTCAGCCCCTAATCCACAGAGCTGCTGATTCTAGGCAACATCAGAAAAATGCCTACTTCTGAGTCATCGGCAGTGCAATTCATAACCAAAAGCTCGCCCCAGCTACCATTTTCTGCAGTAACAGAGTTCTGGCATAAAGTTGATATAATGTCTGGTACAAAGCTGGTGCTCAATATTTGTGTGGCTCAATGACTACATTTTTGTGTCTAACTCAGTGGCCTTGCAGAACTCTCTAATTTTGCACTCTTACAGAGCATGGAATTATTAAATCAGATTATGTTATACCAGAAGCTTCTTGGCTGCAGACAGGAACCTAGAGGCTTGAGATGCACTTCACAGAGTCCTTTTGTTAGTCAACAGAGAGCCCGTTATGGAAGAACAGTGCTGCCTGTCTAGACCACAACAGTCCCCTCACTCTGCAATCCCTGCGATCTGCCAGTTGTTGACATGGTAGGGGCCATGAGTCCCATCATTCAGTTTGCTGGAAATTAACCCCTCCCATCATGCAGTCTTGTGGAGAACTGGTGTTGGAAGAAGGGTGTGCAGGTGCTCAGAGAGTGCGCTCCCTGAGAGCAAGGGTCCTCCAGACTCCCACTCCCCACTCAGGCCCCAGCACCCGGGATCATGCCTGGAAAAGAATGCGGTTCGACATGTATGTCATGAATGAACCTCCCCAATTCTCTAGTTCCGGTTGTTTTCTCAAATCATATGGGGAGGTGGTGCAGGGAGCTTGAGGAATGGGGACAAGAAATGACCCATCCTTTCTTCGTTCTTTTTGTCCACTGTAACCAGCCTTCCCGACATGGGGGCCATAGAGCCCTGAGTGAACACACTCACTGGGTACACGGAGGGCATGTCCAGGTCCTGGCCCCATACCAGGCCAAAGGAGGAAACAGAACTTCACCGCCCGGTTTGTCCCCAGTTCCTGCTTTTGCAGAGTGGGCTCCTCGAGGGCTACCTACAGGGCCTGGCGCTCGGCCCGCAGTCTGTCCTACATCACACCGGCCATCAAATTCCACCGGCCCGCAGAGATGTTTATTTTTGCATTCTGGAGACTCTGCTCACTGCTTGAGCCACAGCAGGTCACACAAAGGACAAGGTGTTACCAGGGCTGAGAATGTGGTGTACTCTTTTTTTTCATAAAAATTTCCTGCCTTGAAATGAAAGAACTAGAAATGACTTTGCAAAAAAATCTTCAATATGTGGGTGGTTATCTTTGTCCCTATCCTGATAGAAACAGTTATGGTTGAACCAGTTCATTCTACCTCCTTCTAGTTTGAGACCCCAGGGAAGTCTGATAAACTTTTAACAAAAGCCTTGGAAGTAGTTCCCAACATTTCTGCATGTAAGCACAATCTATACATTTAAAAATATATCCTTAGTCAAATAGGCCAATAGTTATATTCTTAACATAGGTTATTTGTTGATTAAGAAAATATATAAAAAGAACAAGTAAAATGAATCTTATGACATTTCAAATAAATTGTATTTTATGAATCACTAAGGCACTCATATACATTTGAAAAATCGTATAACTATGTAAGATATTATTCCGTCCACTGACAATACTGCATGTGCTTGTGGATTTGCAGTCCCTGCATTAATTCTGTTGTTTCCTCCCAGGTCTGACACCTCCAGATTAGAAGTCCCCTGTGTTTATTAAGGGTAGGACTAGTGCCTTAGAGAACATGAGTTCCTTCTGGTTTACTGGGTATATTACTCAAGGCCTGGCAGGAACTGGGAAATGGGGGTAAACGTTGACAAAGACATTATTTATAAAGGTAAGAGAAGTGTTAAAAGCTCACAAAGGAAGTGGAATCCCTTGGGGCTAGTAAGAGTTGGAAGCTATCACCACCTCTAGACCTAGGGGGCAAAGGAAGAGAGCAGTTCCTGGAAACTTGGAGGATTCTATAGAAAAGATC